CAGCAAATAATGGAAATCTTCAAAACAAGGTCAACTGGATTTGAGAATATTTTCAAGAAGGTAAGTTCAGACAAAATGCTATTTTTTGTTCAGCATTGCATAATGAATGTTGAGACTTGTACTGGAAAAGTATTTGCGAAGACATTTGGATCTTTGCTTTTGTATGAGCTTTGTGTCATATCCATCCTGAACTAAAAGTGAAATTTTCTGCGGTTCAGAATTATAAGATGTTCTTTAGTAAAATTTACTGATTTTAATTCAGTATGACAAAGATCAGTAATAGTAATAGTCATACTGAAGGTAGCTGTGTGATAACAAGTGAACAGAAGGCACAAAGGCTCTTCAAATAATCTAAGTCAGTGAACACCTTGTTGGAAATTGGAACTGGAGTCCCCAGACGCTAGCTGGCTGTGATTGTTCTGTGAACAGTTTGTCACTCGCCGCCTCTCTTTGTACTGCTACCATTATCTTTCTCCACCTCTCCCTGTCTCTCACACATGTACATTAATATAATATATAGGGGCCATTGAGGGAACTTTTTTGCTATTCACACTTATTATTTGAGACATTGTAGTGTATGAATTGTGACTCTACAAGCATTTGCAAATGTAAATTGTGATAATTAATTAAAAGTACTGTTTTCTGTGTAATAGGTTGAAACTCATTTGGAAACCAGTGGCCAGAAAGCAAACTCGCTGCAGTCAGAGATGGAGAAGTAAGTAGCTCTTCATTAGTAGAGATAACATTTTTTTTCCCCTCTTGTGTATGAATTGACAAAGCATGTTATATTATTGAAATTTGTTTTGCTTCGTTTTAATAAAACCAATTATGAATTTTTTCACATAGAAACCTCTTTTGAATGACCTAAGAAATCCATGTCGCCTAAACTTTTTTTTGCAATCTTTGTTTCAAATCTTGATTTGTGTGGGTTTTGCTTTTGTATTGTTTTTCTTTTCTTTTACACCTACTGTGATTTCCCCCCACCCCCACCACTTATGTTTGCACACACACATACACACACAAAACCCCCTCCTTAAAAAACGCACACAGTCCTTTCGTGTACAGTTGTATTATGTTACTTTAACATTGAATCTACGTCTAGAGTATTACCAAAGTGAGTTCTTACTCTATGAATTTTTTGTCTTCAGATGCAAAGAGCAGTTTTGTAGCACTCATGCTGAAATGACACAACAAGCTCAAGAATTAGTATCCTCTGATACAGCCTCCAATGTCAAAGTTGTGGAAGAGGTAAGATGTTGTATTGCTTTATTTCAAAGGTTGCAGGGGGGGAAAATAAGTGTTTTTATTTGGGGTGGGGGGGTTTGCTGGTCAGGGTAGATAATTGCATAGTTGCAGTTGTTATTACTCATTAAACATATTCCTAGTAACCTGTTATCAATCTGATACCCACATATAGTTGTTTCCACCCTTGTAATTCGTAAAAACATGTAGTCTGTTTTGTAAGGAAATTATTTCAGCATCAGTCAATATCTCTCCATACATCATGTTGACCATTTTAACAGCTACAGAATACTTTTATTTATACTTTTTCCCAACAGCTGTCATTTTGATCCTTGTCTAAGTTGAACTTTTTTTTTTATAGATATAACTTTTTATGAGCGCATTTTTTACTATTCGAATAATTCTAAGAGTAATTTTTATGTAACTGAAGTCTTGATTGTTTTTATCCCAATGAAGGCAAAAGACAATTGCTCACAGACAGTTTCAACGTGTGCAGAGACTGAGACAATGCTTAATGACCTGGCTCAGGGCTCAACACAGGTACTGTTGTCATCTTGTCATCTAAAAAGTGTTATTTGCTTGTTTATTAATGGTCTAAGTCTAAAGGATGCCACTGTTGTCCAAGTCAAAGTGGTTAGTATACATTTTGTAAAATCAATGCACATGTTTCCCTTAAGCCTTTTTGCCAGTGGCTCCTCTAATAACTATGCTATGGCCACTTCACTGGGGGAGTAACGAAGTAGTGCCGATAACACTACTACATAGACAGACAGAGAGAGTGACTTGAGGTCACAGTTGCACCACCACCCCTTACCCCCTAACAGCCCTTTAGATTTTCCTTTCATTGAGTCAAAGAATTTATGGGGGAGTTCTCTGCTGAAGTTTACAACAGCTTCAAATTGTCTTTCATGATCATTTCATCGGTAGCATTGTTCTACTTTTTGCTGACTCAGTTTTAATGAATGCTCAGATTTTGTTTGACAAACAGTGATGGAAGGGTTATGCATTTCTCAATGTAGATATACTAATCTATTGTCCATTTCCAGCGAATGGAGCAATGTCGGGAGACTGTAGAGAGTAAGATGGCCAAACTGTCCCACATCAATGATGAACAACAGAAAAATGCTGAAGAATTTCACCAAGTAAGTAGAAATGAAAATCATTTGACTTTCAGCTACAAAAACCTTTTTTACTATGATGTTGTAAATTAGTACATAAATAAATCTTGTTACAAGTTTTGGAAGAGCTTCTTCATGTGTTAGTTTGTCTCCGAACTGGTTTGAGAAGACAAATTGTCAGACCATTTTTTTGGCCTTTGTTTTTATTGTCTGCTAACTTCAGATAATAAAAATTACTTAGTGCAAACCTGTTTTAGAAGATTCTCTTCTGGCACACTATTTTGTTATAATTTCCTTTACTTAATTAAGCATGCAAGTAAGTAATGCCAAAGAACATTACTATGTTTGTGCAGTATGATAAATTGTGATTTCTCGCAGACAAAGTTCTTATGGGGATAGGTGGTAAATATGTGATCGCTTCACACAACAAGCTCAAAGTTTGTCAAGTTAACACTTGTTTTGTTTGGATATGCTGTTTATTTTTATTTTTTTAATCACATGATCACGCACTTGGTGAAAACTTTAATAAGTTCGTCTGTCATGTCCCAAAAACAAAAAGAAAATTTAAAAAATTGTGAGACTGACCACAAAAAAAGGAAGTAATACAGTAGTCTCCGCCTAAGATCCCACCGCTTACGATCCCGGTTCGCTTAAGATCCCGCTGATTTAAGAAAACAGAATTTTTACTATACAAAAGTCACCCCTAAGATCCCGCTCTGATTCACTCTGAAGGTCTACATTCGGCTAAGATCCCGCATTTCAGATCATAATTTGCGGGAAAAAACCCCGGGCGGGACAGCCGATCAACCAAGAGTGAAAATTTGAGATCAATAAACTGTCCGTCGCATCAAAGATCAGCTACTATGGTGAATGTGATCATATACACGTTGTAAAACTCGATGAAGCGATACAATGTTTGCCCCAGACGGGATCACACCGGGGTGTGAACTGACCGACACATTTGTTTTCCCCGAACATCTCATTCACACCTGAGCTGTCCCCCTAAACTTACATCACTCGCTGGGTGGGTAGGGCCTACACGTTCGCTCCTGGCGGGATCACATTGAACTGTGAACTCTTCCCTGACCATTGGAGAAGTTGTTTCTACTCCCGAATTTGCGAGATAGACTGAATTTTAATTGGTGTGTTCACAACGTAATGGTGTGTAACGACAAAGGCGGTTGGGGGAGATGGAAAGCTATAAATTTTCGACAGGTAAGGGGGAGGGGAGGGGCAACTTGATAAGCGTAGATCTTGAGCCTCATGATAGGATAATAAGTGAAAATGGCACGCCACATCCCACTATGCACCATGATAGGTCATCAAGGTTAACCACTCTTTGCTCGCCATACGTCATAAACCCACCAAGCGGTCACGTCAGTTCATTTTAGAGTGTAGGGAGACCATTTTACTGATTGTAAGCCTTAACATGGGTCACCATAGATTCTTCCCTGGGTTCATCGGTTAAGATCCCGGTTCGCCTAAGATCCCGCTTTTCCTTGCTCCCGAGCACCGGGATCTTAGGCGGAGACTACTGTATCTGGTTAACCAAAACAATTTTAACTCTTTAAACCCCATCGGACACTGGTAGCGTCCGGCGGTAATAATTCTGGGAGTGTCCGATACCAGTGACAACTGTTTTGTTGTATTTAGTGCTTAGATTTTGCTTGTTTTTTTTAAACTATTCCCAAACTAAGTTTATTAGTAATGACTAAGCCTTTGTTTCTGCCATTTAAAAGTGAGAGGCAAGCTCTTGGGGATTATAATGAGACATAGTGCGCCAGGTTTGGGTGACCGTTGAAAAAAACTCTGGGAAGCGGTGGAAATGACTCAGGGTCTAAAGAATTTATGAATGAAAACTATGATATTTGGCATACAAATATGGAACATTTTCCATTATACTTGAAATGGCATCAAGAATGTAAATGGTTGAGTTGTGGTAGATGTGTTGTATAATTCAGACAAAAAAATAAAGAGGTAGAGAGTAGAAATTATTTTTTTTTGAATGACTGTCTTTTTCCCAAATCTTGTGTTTTATAATTGATTATTAACCCTTTCGTGCCGGGATGTATGCGTTTCTACTGTCAGGATGATTTTCAACTGAGCTCGTTTCTCAGGACAGCAGCCTACTGTCTCAGTGTTAATAGACACGCAGTCTAGATCTAGAACCAGCACACTGGTGACACATTTCGGACACAAATCTTCAATTTTCTCACTTTTCTTGTTCCCATCCCCCCCAATCTTACTCATAATTTTGAATAACCTGCAAATCTGAAGTCAAAAAGTGAATTTTAAGTCATTTCGATGTTTATGTTTTATGAGAACACGCAGCTGCCCGCAAGCCTAGATCTGTGTTTATCGATCGCTTGCAAGCCTAGCAGTAAAGTAATACTGGCAAATTTTGTACCAATATGCGCGTCTTTCATTCCCGAATACAAAGCTACGCAGGGTTTGTGCCTGAAACTCTGTACAGAAGAATTAGAGCTGGGTTATTATTACGTACAGGTAACGTCATATTGGCAACCAGGAGCGGCAAATTTTGCCAACTTCCTTGACGTATATGGTATGGTACAGCGCTAAAAATTACGCATTTTCATGAGGTACCAGGTACATCATAAGGCAACAAATTCTTTTATTAAGAAAAACTCATACACAGTTTTGATTGGGATGCGATATGAATTATATTACAGCATTATCATATTTAATTATCAAAACAGATGTATCAACTTGAAGACACTATTTGGGTCTCAAATACTCCTTGTAATGCTGATCTCAAAATGATGCTGCAAACAAAGAATATTGTATAGACTTTTCATAACCATTTGTGAAGCATGCTAACCAAATGAGTTGCTTCTCAGATTCAAGCTTTAACTTTAAGGAAATAGATACATGAGGACCACGTTCATTGGTGAAATTTTTACAATTTATAAGTATGAAATAATAGAAGACAAGTTATAGTTAAAGATTATGGCATCAATAGAAAATCTACAAATTGGACTGTAATATTGATTTTTGGCCAATATCTCATTTTGTGGATTGTGAGAAGTAACTCATTTTGTCAGCACGCCTCTCATTTATTTATATGTTTATTATTAATCTCTGACTAGTTTTACGATCCACAACAAACGTGGGCATTGACGTCAATTGTAGGTGATCCAAGTTTCTTTTGTGGAATCAGTTTGAGAAAAGACCATTCTTGTGAAACTGCATTCCAGAGATACATGTACAAAGAAGGTTAAAACTGGAACTTTTGACATGTACCTTGAGATCATCATTTCTCTTTAGTTATCATTTCTATTTTACCCTGTGTTCCATTTAGACCCTGCAGTCAGAGTGGAAGAGATATGCACAGCAGTCAAAGCAACTCTCAGAGGACATTTCAACCAAGCTCACAAAGGACACTGTTGAGATTGAAGGTCAGATTCAAGAGCATCAAGCCATGGATGAAGAGAATCTCTCACAACTGGATCGTGATGTGACTGAAGGAAAGCAGATTGTAGAGAATTTCGTGCAGGAAGAAGTGGCAAAGGATGTACCAACAGGTCAGTCATTGAGCGGTGTTGAAATGAGTTGGACTTAGAGCTTTGTGAAACACTATCCTCTTTTTTAAATGCCTGCGTGATTTTTTTTTGGGGGGGGGGGGGGGGGGGGGGGCGTAGGATTGTAATACCCCAGATTCTGATTTTAAAAAAAAAAAAGTTTGGCTACCCCAACCCACTGCCAGCCTTCCTGGTGTATATGGGGAGAAAAATAGGAAAACTATCAGACCTGGACTGTCTACTTCACTACGTCACGTGCACTAAACATTCTCTTTACATTGAGCCTTGGTAGTTGCTCAGTACCGCCCTTGCTCTTGAACAAACATTAGACTTTAGAAGTGCCAAAACCAGTAGTTAGGCAAACATTGGATTGACATGTTAGGAAATTCCTACCCTTTTGTATCATCACATTACATTTATAGTATACTCATATATTATACTGGACTACAACCCCTGTCCTAGACACCCCACCACAGAAGATTTTCCGTGGCCATGTTACGAATTTTTAAGCCAGTTCATTAATTTTCTATCTGTTGATTGCTAAAACATATGCTGGTGGGTGGGCAGCCCTGAATATGTGAGCGAGGGGGAAAGAGAAGGAAAGGAAGGGAGAATGAGAAAGAGACACTCAAAGAGAGAAAGGAGGGAGGAGGATTGTCTGTGATAGTTGAACTGAGCACCATAATATAAAGTTCTTAATTTGTATCTTGACTGTGCTAACATGATGGCCTCCTTTTTTTTTCTTTAGAGTCTAGTCATCTTTTCTTTTTTTTTCAGGGGATTTTCCATATTTTTATATCTTCATTGATCTGTGACATGGAATAATGTCTGGAATGCTCTATCATTGATAAATCTTTGTTTCTCTCCTTACCCTAGGTCACACACCTCAGAGATACGAGTTTAGATATCCACGAAACTTGACCAAGACCGACGACCATAACAGACTTCTTCAGCAATTCAGAGAAACACGAAGAGAGTCTGATCCTATCGTGATGAATTTGTCATCGCAGCTTGAAGAGACTGGAAGTGACACGCAATCTCCTGCGGCATCTGTCGAGGTAAAGTGTGCCTTGAGAAGCTCCTTGTTCATTGTTCACTGTCAACCCTTTTGAAAATAGTTGTAATACTTACTTTCATATTTGCTTTTGATCGAAAGGGAGATGTTTATGTTTAACACATTACACCCGGGACCGCCCGCGAATTCCCTTACGCGCTCCACCCTGACTCGCCCGTAACTGCCTGCCGCGACCTAGCATCTTTAGAAACGAAGTCTCGCCTTGACGAGACTCTGGGGCCGAGATTTTGATTTGCATAGTTATTGCACAAAGTTTTTTCTTTCGTTTGATACCGAAACGAAATTTTTCGGGCCAGTAGTTTTAGTATTAGAGCTGATCGAAGTGCGATCACGTTACCAACACTTCGAAAGTGTCTCGACTTGTTGAAAAGCGACACAGTTGAGTTCGAAAATGGAAATAACGATGGATTTGAGCAAAAACAAGCATATGACAAATCAGATGGCTCAGATTTTGATGAAAACGTTGTAGCAAGAGTTTGGCGCGATTCGGATTGATCAGGCGTAGAAAATCTGGAATTTAGATCTAGGGCCCAATCGCGAGGCTGAGAGTGAGAGTGACGGGTCAGACATTTCCAATAGTTTGCGCAAACATAAAGTTATATTTTTCTGAAACTACATTCAGTTTTCTTTTTAAGTTTTATTTTTTCAGGATTTTTGGAATTTGTGTAGTATTTTTAACCCTAACTCTGGCAAGGGCCGATTAGATCGGCCCATTTCCTGCCATGAAACTGGCAGGGCCGATCTCATAGGACCATATAGTAAACTGCTGCTTCTGCCTTCCAACTAAATATTTGGGGCTTCCAAAAGTGATTTCTGATTGGCTAAAAGGCTAACCTCCAACCAATCAGAATATTTCTACCATTCTGGCTTTGGAGAAGAGTATTTTGCTTTCCAAACAGAGGGATGTTTTGAAAGCTTGTTGATCAGGCCACAAGCCACTAATGCCAATGTAGATCTATCACTTGTGTGGGTCTAAAATGGCCAAAAATCGATCTTTTTTGGATACATTTGAAAGTGAATTGACTAGAGAAAGTAATTCAGACACTGTTAGTGGTGGATTTATTGGTGTTCAGTCAAGATTGGGATTAGATCTGACAGACAATGGGGATAATGTACCAGTTCTCATCCTGCCCCAACTTCTCTTTCAAATGGAACACTAGATTCTACTACTTAGGGAGTCTAATAGGGGCAGAAAAAGGAGAGCTATAGAGTAAAGTAGGTTCCTTTTGCTATACTAATTATTACAGACTACCAGCAGATTGCTGAAAACCACATGGTTGTACTTAGACTTAGAGTGTTTTTATGTTGAGTATGTATGAAATTAGCGAGTATCAGCTGCGCTCGAAACAGACCACATGACAAATTGAAACAGTCATAACTCATTACCTGTTCTTCTCAAACCTATAAAACTATACATTTTCTGAATGGTAATTGAAAAACCCATATTTCTGCTATCTCACATTTTTTATAACAAGAAATACATTAGATTGGTGAATATGCTAATGAGCATGTAAATTTTTTATGTCAGCCATCTTGGATTTCAAAGTTACATAACCCCTTGAAAATAAAATAAAATCATATGTTCAATGGCAAAATATAAAAGTTCATTCAATTATCTTTCAGAAAATATATACTTTTGTAGGGTTTTTATTTGATGCAAGTCCATAAATTTGATTTGTAAAGCATGTGCACATTTTGGCTGATTAGCCCTGCCATTCCTGTTGAAACCACTTGCCAGAGTTAGGGTTAAAATGTGTTTTTTAAACGCTTGTATTCACGGGAGGTGGGTTCCTTCCCCTTGCTTAGGATCTAACAATGGACTTCCCGTCCAGGCCCTTAGGGTATAATGTGTTAAAAAGTTTCATGGTGTTTTTTGCCTTCACAATTGAAAATAATGTTGAGAAGTGATAGCTGATTTCCTTGTCTGTTAGTTCTGTCACAGTGATTTTTCCCCTGTTGAAATAATGCACTTTGTTCTTCTAAAAGGATGATGCTCCACCCATGTTACTGAAATGTTTTTCTGAACTCCCTCGGTTTCGATGCTTTTTGAGGCTTTTTAAAAATTGGGTGCATTACAATACAATGTTTATTTGCCCCGGTTATATCTTGAGCTGAAGTACAACATATGGTCACTCGTGTGACTGTATTTTCTCCAGACCTATTATGTAAATTTATAAAAAATATTTTTGTGAAAGAGATGGTAAAGGAACATGTGATTTTTGTTAGACTGCTGAGTGCCTATCCTATAGACCTATCTAGATCAATTTCAAGGACAGTGAACTTGAGAGAGTAAAACTTTTGGGTTTTTTAAAATCTGGCTCAGTACACTCATTTGTACATAATTACATAATTTTAATTATTAATAATGTACAGAAAAGCAACAAAATTCAAATAATATCGACCATTAAACAATCTGTATCAACCTTCATTAATTACATTTATCATTATGTCCTTGTCTGTTTCAGGACATTCGTGGAAGTCAGAGCAACCTCAGCGAGGCGGGCACAGAGGTCTCTGTGAAATCCATGGCAAGCACATCTGGAGTTTCCACCACCAGTCACAGGAGCAAGGTCTGTAGTGTTATTGTGTTCTCCCAGGTTGGGGGGGGGGGGATGTCCTTCTATAATTATCAAGTGCTGTCTGCTCATACAGCCTGACTTTCCTAGCAGTACTGGCAGGTGAATATTTGCTCTGAAATTTTACTTCCTTTTTTATGCCTAAGTGAGAACCAGCCATGACCAAAAGCAGTGTATATGGTGATGTCAGGGGTACCTGGTTTGGGTTGTTGTTGTTTTTTGTGTGTGTGTTTTCTTCTTCTTCTTTCCCCTCGTTTAATTTGAACATTTTTGCTTTGCCCTCGGATTCAATGGACACTTAAGGGGATCCACTGGTCAGATCAGTAAAAATTTTGAAAAAATATCAGTTTTCGGATTTTGGAGTATCTTAATAGATATCAATATCAAGGATTCATCTTTAGAAGCCTAATTCCTTTATCAAACTTATAAATAGCTGGAAATGCATTTAAGAGAGGCAGCAATGTAGGAAAATCTTCAACAAAAAATTATCTCTCTTTGCAGTTTTCTCAGAATTGTTTATCTGACCAGGTTGCAAAACTATTTTGAGTAGATCTCAGAAAGTTACTGTCAGAATTGTTTCACATTTGGACACAATCTTTTATACACATTTCTCTATAACTTTACAGGAGCATTTTTCTTTTTATGGTACACCTTTGAGTTTTAGGCCTTTTTTATTTTACAAAATCTTAAAACATTGGAGACCTGAATGTAGTGCATAACAAGGACTGTAAAGCTCACAAGTTAGTACAGAAAATTCAAATTTGGCCCTGTAAGGTTGTTCTACCTACCAACAGTAATCGCCATGCCAAATATTAGGCTTCTATCTTGATGAGTGTTGATGATTGACAAAATATAAAATTGGTTTTAAAAATGCTGAATCAATCCTTTATTTTTGATGGCTCGAGATTATTATGGCTAAAATCTTGAATTTTTTGCTTGGTAACCTTTTTTTGTACTATGTCACCCCCTTTGATGCAGAAAAGCAAGCGTTAGACCAAAAACTACAGCATTTGGGTGTTGACCATAGCTACACCCCCTTAAATCAGCGAGCTCGGATTCAACGAGGTCGCTTCCAGGGTGAACAGCCCCCGCAGACCTGGCTTCGCTCATTTTTCTCCCAGAACGAACTTTATCTATTCCCGGAAACCATCCATTGCACCTGCATTGAGAACCATTATTCACTTAGCCGATTGCATGCGACCAATCAGCAGGCATGTGTCGGGGTCGTATGGGCGGCCTGCACACATGTGGCTGTGTGTGTGTTGGGTGTAGGGGGGGGGGGGGGCACTAGCAGTCCGGGCATTGAACGTGGCAGATACAAAAGCGTCACAGTCTTTTTTTTCTCCTCGGCAACTGATGATTATTACAATGATAATCTAGTCTTGACGTAGATCTACGTAATGAATTGTGCGCTGGTCTATGGAATAAACAAAAGCTGCCGTATGCTAGGCTCTACACAGCAACACAACTTTTGGTAAACAATTGAGATGAAACAGGTGTGCGCATTTGAACGATTCTGTCTTTTTTTTACACAGCTCATAATATGCAGGCATTTCATCCACTACTTGTGACTTCTCTTTATACATTACTTGCTCAGTGCCTGTAATTATCTACTCAAAACTTCGTGTTTACTATAACGAACACTTGGATTCAACGAGATTTTAGGTCAGGCCCGGCGACCTCATTGAATAATAATAATAAAAATAGATAGCATTTGTATAGCGCATATCCCCGCTCATCAGCAAGCTCTATGCGCTTTACACTATATTATTACCCGAGCAGACCATAGAACACTCCGAAACATTCTCAGCTTCCTGGGAAGCATACAGTGCAAGCAGCCGATTAAGCACTCAAACACTTACAAACTGACAAGATCTTTCGCTGTCTATAGCCGGGTACCCATTCCCACCTGGGTGAAGTGAGGAAAATTTGTGTAAAGTGCCTTTCCCAAGGACACAACGTCAGGCCCCTGACGAGATTCGAACCCTCGACCTTACGGTTGCGAGTCCGATAGCCTAACCACTATGCCACTGTATACAGCGAGCTAATTCAGCTGGCATTCAACATAACTCAGTTGTTTACAGTCAACAAAAAATCTACGAAAGCCCAGCAAATCCATCTCATTTAAAATCAGACTATGCTTATTGCCTGGAGCATATTCAAATAGGTTAAATAGGAGGGTGGTAGTTATTAGTAATACGGAAGTCTGTGGAGTTAAAAAATTGAATGGCAAAATTTAGTTTGCATACAAGTGTGAACTAGTCTTCCATTTACTAAGAGTTAGTCCCTGAAAAATAGGTTTGATAAACCATGTTTTAAATAAGCTTGACTATCTGTTTAGTAACGTGGTAAGTGTTTTAAGTGGACTCGGGTACTGAGGTAACAGCTCCTGAAATAACAACTGTTTGCTTCTATTTTCCTTTTATTCTCAGATAATTTCCATGTTCTTTTGTCATGAGTTTGGTGCCTTAGCGTTGTAACTACACATCGAGAGCAGTTTCAGTGAGGAGAAAAATAAGTGCCAGTAGTAGTGTTTTTTGTTTTCCTCTTCTCTGATTCATGCTCTCTGCATATAAAGCTTGGCAACTTCCATTCTGTCCATTCGATCAACAGATCATTATGTATTTTTCAGATGTCTGATGTGGACTCCATGAAAGAAAACAAGGCTATCAAGTCAATGCGACCACCTCAAGGGACCTCAAAGAGGGCCAAAGCTCCATCCAAGACTCCTTCTAAGACACCAACGAAAGGATCAGTGTCAAACAGTTCAAGAACGAAGTTGCCTTTACGCTCAAATAATCCTTAAGCCCATTACGTAGTGGTGAAAAATATGAAAATGTTACTTTTTGGAGTTATTGTCAAAATATTCTTTTCATAATTTTAGATTGTAATGCAGCTATCAACTACATTTGAGACCAACCAGATAAGCCTTATAATGTTATGAGATATCTACTTTTATGGGCAGCACTGTTTGTTTTTGTTTTTCAAGAATATTTTGTTTTGAAAAGTTCTGCATTTATACTGTAATGAAGATCACTTTGAGACCACCTTTGCTGTTACAATATCACATCTTCATTATAACATAAGCTATTTTCTTCATGATTGTAGATACAAGTTCAGAATCGAATCTCGAAGGGTCTGTTATAGTTATAGAATTTTTATTGTAAAGCATGATTTTAATGAGTAGAAGTGTAGTCGATATTGTGCCCACGTGGCTGCCAGTTTGCCAGCTGACAACTAGATATCCATTTCAAGGAGTGTGACCACTATTATAAGCCTACCTACGGCGAAGAAAATAAGGCGTTATTAATATTATGCTGTCTGCCTTTTCATTCATTCAGTTCACTTGTGCCTCTACCTTCCTCTTAAACACATAAATACACACACACAAACACACCCTCACTCACACACTTTGTATGTTGTTACTTTATTATGCACCATTTTTGGTACCCTAAGTTTACTTGTCATCTCTACCAGTTGTGACACCTCACCACCTCACTGGATTCTTTTTCCTCCACAACAGTACCATCCCCTGTTAATGTATGATAAGCATCAAGTACACAACCCTTTTCTATATATACTTGTTTTCAGTTGAACCATGATTGGAAAGTGTGCTTGTGTACCTCTCTGCTTCTTACTTTCTGCCAGGTGTATTATCTATGTGATAGAATTTCTTCTTTTCTTTTGTCTGTCTGTCATCTGGTCTTATTGTCTGTCAAACTTTTGTCTAATGTCTCTATCTGTCGTCTTGCTTCTCCTCACATCAAGAACTAAGTGACCATTGTTGTGTGGATGCACTTCTTTTCTGCTCAAACTTGTACGTGTACATAAATTATATTGTTACTATTTGTCAGCTTGTAAAATACTGCTCTTGTTGATCCACTGTACATAGTGGGGGTTTTTTTCTTTCTTCTAATCAGTGGGTGGTTGGCAGGTGCTCTGGTGTGGTTTGCTCCTTCTTTCCTATCAAACATCTATCGTCCTGATCTCTCCTCCTTCTTTTTAAGTGTTTGTTACTCTCTTGTAACACCTCTAATCTTCGGCACTTATATGACCTTATTGTGTTGCAAGTGCCGTAAAACTCTTACTAAAACATTCTTCTAATCAGTCTGTAGCCTACTATTTTTTTTATTATATGGTATTCTTAAATTTATAATGGAGCACGCACAAATAGCGAAATTGGCGGGACATGGGAATTTTTTTGCTGTGCATGTGTTTTAGCTACAAAGAAAATGCCTGTTTTTTAAAAAATTGGGGATCTGAACATCTGTTTGCTATGATGTGCGTGCTCGCTATGTATGTGACACTGTAGTCACTTCAACCTAAGATGAAGCTGCTGTGTTTACTCAGATCTCATCAACGGATAGAGGTAAAATTAGAAGTGTGTGTTTTTTCCCCCTCTTCCTTCTTGACTTTAGTCTTCTCCCCTTCCTATTTTCTTTTCTTCATGTTTTATTTATGGCTTAGTTAGATTTTCATTGCAAAATTTTTACCTGTAATAGATCAAATATATTGTTCCTTATGTTGTCCATCGTCATGCGCTTAACCAGTGCCAGAAAGAGACATGAAGATGGCTCTATTTGAATGTGAATTATCACTGTATCTGAAAGTTAATAAAATGCAACCATCTGTACATAATTTTCTCTGGAGATGCAATGGAAATGAGTGTGCTCACAGTTACAGTGGGTGGTTGGCGGGGGCTCTGGTGTGGTTTGCTTCTTCTTTCCTATCAAACATCTATCGTCCTTATCTCCCCTACTTCTTTTTTATGTTTGTTACTCTCTTGTAACACCTCTATTCTTCTGGCGCTCATATGATGACCTTATGCAGTTGCGAGCGCCGTAAAACTTCTACTAAAACAAAACATCACAGTTACACGGACACAAACAGACATACTCACATGTGTACAGATACACTGTCACCAGACACTTATATTACGTGTATACAGTCCAGTACCATTTACACAGAAATAACAATTTTCATGAACACATGTGCACATCTGAAATATATCCACTGGCCCATGAGTTACCCATCAACGTTCATGTTGTTCACCCACAGCAGAAACTGTACCTGTGAGTACAGTGGAGTCCACTTATAACGAGTCCTGAAACAACGAGAAGTCTGTTATAAAGACACT